TTTCCTAAAATGTTCAACTTGGGCATGAACACTGTATAACTATTACGGCATTGATCTGTGGGGTCCTTACATGGTTTTGAAGATATTTCAAACTAACAAATGATATCTCTTGAAACCGTGCAGCAGATTCTTGTGGGATTTGGTCAGACCAGTTTCAACAGCCACCGTAAAAGCCCATAGAGAAAATAAGCCCCCAGAGTTATTGCTCGAGATTGGATGAAGTTGTGATTACCTCAAGCGGACTGCTGTGGGTACCAGTAATGGCAGTCATAGCCTCGCTGTTACCCTCTCACTTCTGCTGGCTCTTATCTAAATGCTAAATTGTATCATCTCTAGCCAGGATATTTGTTCATATGAATACTGTCGGAGCTCTTGTTTTAATGCCTAGACCTTGCTGAAGTGGAAATGAGCAAAAGAGATGAAATGAACAAGAATTATCTGTGATGAATTATCTAAATTATCTAAAGGAACAAAATTATCTGTGTATGACACAGATAATTTGACAAGTTATATATAGAAATATGACACTTCTTTTTGTCAAACAAGGACTTCATTTAATTAATCCTCCTTTCCCCTAACCTCTAATTCTACTCAGGTGGTCATGAACAAGCACTCACTAAGGGCTGCCTCAAAAACTTCAGTAAACTCTACAAAGACAGCAGAGAATGCTTAATTTCTTCTTCAGGTGTTTACAGTTATGATGGGGTGTTGTGGATATATGGTGCTGCGTCTGATTTAGGAGACGCTGTATAGAAATTATTCTGATTATATCCAATATAGGCCTCTGAGGAGGAGAACCTGCTGATTAGAAAGAAGTTTGACTTCCTTGCAGCCGAGCCAACTAGTCCATCTCACCACCTTCCCCTGTGGATGGGGGATTTCAGTAGCTTTGATTCTGAACTACGTGTGGTCTCTATGCTGTGAGGCTACCTAAACATGGATTACAAACTCTAATTAACTTACAGATAGGGCAAGACCATCTATTTAAAGCGGTAGTGTCACCGCAAAAGTTGCCTTTCTGTTTCTCTTTTCCTTCATGCACTTGTGCTGCGTGGCCCCGGTAGCTTCTTTGCACGAGAGAGTAACCCTACGCGCCTGACACAAACCGTAATGACCAGTGACAGTTTCTGTAACCCCAATTCTCCTTTGCAAGTCATTTTAGGTCAAACGGTAGGATGGGAGTTACAGGGGTGTTTGTGGCTGTCACTCTAGCTCTACTCTCTTCCTCTTCAGAAAAGTTTTACGTTACAAATAAAGCTGCTGTCACAATACGTTTTCTGTGTTTGAAAATAGATGCTTGATGGCACATTGAGGTAAAACCTCCAGTTACTCCATAGCGATTTAGACTCATTGGAGCAGAAGACTCTCCCTGGGTGGGCATGTGGTGTTTGGCTGCAGCCTTCCTTCCGTTGCGGGGGGAAGAGAGAAACCATTCCACCTACAAGCCGACCTCCACAGACCCCTTACCTAGCACAGACCCAGTGGGCTAGAGCAGCTCAGGCGTGGCACAATAAAAGGTGACCACGTCTGGGTTTATTGCCGTGTTTACAGAATACCACATCTGAGCCCGGATACTGCCCCAGGGACAGACCCGAGCTGGCTCTGAGCTGGGAACACCCTGCAGGCCTAGGGGAACACTCTGCTGGGGGCTGTGGTCTGGCTGCCTGCATGTGTCACACCGCCACTGTGCTAAAAAAATCCCTCTCAGAATTAAATAGGAACCAAATTACCTGGTCAGGAGGCAGCAAGGCACACCCCAGTAATCAGGATTTGTACCTGGATGAGGGGACAGAGTGTATCGTCAGCAAGTTTGCTGATGATACCAAATTAGGAGGGCTGGCTGACACCCCTGAGGGCTGTGCTACCATCCAGTGCAACCTGAACAGGCTGGAGAGCTGGGCAGAGAAGAACCTAATGAGGTTCAACAAGGACAAATGTAGGGTCCTACACCTGGGGAGGAAGAACCCCAGGCACCATTACAGGTTAGGGATGAATCTTCTGGGAACACTACTAAGGAAAAGGATTTGGGAGTCCTGGTAGATAGCACACTTTCCATGCGCCAGCAATGTGCCCTTGTCACCAAGAGGGCCAATGGAATCCTGGGCTGCAGAGGGAAGAGTGTGGCCAGCAGGTCGAGGGAGGTCATTCTCCCTCTCTACTCTGCACTGGTGAGGCCACAACTGGAATACTGCGTCCAGTTCTGGGCTCCCCAGTTCAAGAGGGTCAGGGAACTACTGGAGAGAGTCCAGCGAAGGGCAACAAAGATGATTAAGGGATTGGAGCATCTCCCTTATGAGGAAAGGCTTAAGGAGCTGGGGCTCTTTAGCCTGGACAAGTGAAGACTGAGGGGAGACCTTATTTATAAGTATCTAAAGGGTGGGTTGAAGGATGTTGGAGCCGGACTCTTTTCAGTGGTTTCCAGCGATAGGACGAGTGGCAACTCGCTCAAGCTGGAACACAGGAAGTTCCATTCAAATATGAAAAAAACTTCTTTACGGTGAGGGCGACGGAGCACTGGAACAGGCTGCCCAGGGAGGTCATGGAGTCCCCTTCTCTGGAGATCTTCAAGACCCGCCTGGATACAGTCCTGAGTGATGTGCTCTGGGCAATCCTGCTTTAGCAGGGGAGTTGGACCAGATGATCTCTAGAGGTCCCTTCCAACTCTGACAATTTTGTGATTCTGTACTTGATTCACGGATATCAAGTTGAGTATAATGGGAAGACGGTCATCACTTGATTCACAGATACCAAGTTGAGTATAATGGGAAGACGGTCATCAGAAAGGTAACAAGTTACCGACAGGTATCTGGCAGGCAATGAAAAGGGAAGTGATGCATCTGCTCCCTTACTTCCCCTTTCACACCTTTTAGATTAACAAAATTTGCATGGGAAGAATAACAGGTGTCTTTTGCCTTAAAA